ATTTTATTGGGGGCTCTTACAGCTCTTATCACAATCCATACATCCAACGATTATGTCAAGCACATTTGTACATATGTTACCATCATCATTTTCAAAACATTCTCTTTCTACTTGAGCCCTTGGTATCAGCTCCTTCTTTTTCCTCTGCCCTCCCCTGCCTTCCCCTTCCCCTCTTGGTATCCCTACTTTCATTATTGGCCCTGAGGGGTTTATCTGTCCTGGATTCCCTGGGTGGCGAACTCTTTTCTGTGCCTGTGTACATGCTCTGGTCTAGCCGGATTTGTAGGGTAGAATTCAGGTCATGATAGTGGGGCGGGGAGGAAACCTTAAAGAACTAGACTAGAGGAAAGTTGTTTGTTTCCTCGGTGCCAGCTCTATCTTCTCTTCCCCTTTAACCTCCCAAAGTTTCCATCGCTCCTCGTGAAGCTCTGATGTTCATTATTCCTCACCCCTTCATGCAGTAAGCTACTGTGTAGTGCTTGCTTTGTGCCAGCCACTGTCCCAGGATCTGGGATACAGTAATGGACAAAGTCCCCTGCCTTTGAAAGGAGCTTACTCTCCAGCAAGGAGAGATGGACAACGAACTAAGTCAACTATCCAGTATGTGTGAAGACAGTAACCAGTTGCTGTCAGTCACTTTGTCCTGACTCCCTGCTCCCTGCTCAACTCCAGAGTTGAGCAGTGCTCTTTAGTGATTTCTTTTTCTTTTCATTTAATTTTTGTTGAAAATATGTATATCCAGCCCAATCCACGCCCATTCCACAGATTCTCGTCATAAGGCTTATGATATCACTTCCATTTTTTGTGCTGTTAACATTCTCATTACTTCGTATCTAGTTGTTTCACACCCAGTTACTTAATTCTCCTCCTCCTTAACCTTTTTGTCTCAGTTTAAAATAGTTGTGGACCCTTTGGTTTTGGGTAATCCCCATCCCCCCCACCCCAAGACACAGTATACAGCAGTGAGTATCTATACTTTTTGGACTAAACTGGTATTTCATTTAAAGGTACCAGGAGCCCCGGTGGTACAGTAGGTTAAGAGTTGGGCTGCTAATTAAATTGCTGGTCCAGTGGTTCAAACCCACTAGTTCCTCTCTGGGGGAGAGGTGAAGCCATCTGTTCCCCATAAAGATCTACAATCTGATAAAAGATACAATAATAATTTATAAATTATTAAGGTTGCATGGGGGAGAGGGGAGGAGGAAGGGAAGGGGAGGGGGGGGGGAAGGAAAATTAGCGGATTCCGGGAACCCAAGAGGCAAGCGAATTTTGGGAATAATGAGGGCAACAAATATATAGATGTGCTTCACACAATTGATCTATGTATTGTGATATTGTATGAGCCCCAATAAATTGATTAAAAAAAAAAAAGTTCTACACAAACAGAAAAAAAAATAAAGCTCTACAATCTGGGAAACCCTACGGAGCAGCTCTGCTCTGTGGCATGGGGTCCTATGTGTTGGAATTGACTCAATGGCAGAAGGTCTCAGGGGATAGTTTCAAGTCACTGTTTGCAGCGTAATTCGGGGCCATCGTCTCACAGGCTCCTGTAGCCCCACTAGGTCCCTAAGTCTGGGTTCTTTAAGAATTCGAAGTTCTGTCCTAAAGTTTTCTCCTTTATAATCAGCATGCATCTATTATGCATTAGATACAAGAAACAAATACTTGCAATCTTTTAAGACCCCCAGACACTACTCAACCATACCGGGAGACAGAACGTAAAATTTAAGAACTATGTTATGCCAACTGACTGGACTCCCTCACAAGACCGTGTCTAAGCCCCCAGACCAAGAGAAATAACCCTGTGAAGGGTACCAGCATCTGTAGGCACCCCCCTCGACTTTTGAGCTTGCTGTTATTCTTGCAAAGCCGTGTTTTCCCTAGCATTGTCCCTAGATAGAACTTACTGACATCATTTACATCAGCTACGCTATGCAGTCACTCCCCCACCCCATATTCGGTGCTATCTTATCTATTTCTATGAGCAAAAAGTGACTTTTACCTAGGGAGTACTTCACTTGTCCCTGTCTTACCCTATTCATGTAATTTCATGCGTGATCAATAAGGTTTTCAATCTTTGATGTTTTTGGCACTAGACTGTCATGCTTTTCTGGCTTTTCCTGTGAGCAGTAGAATGACTAGATAGCAGCTGGCACTGCCCAGGGACTGGCCTGCTCAAAGGAGCAAGTGCTAGGGGAAAGATCAAAGGGCTTGGGGGCGCAGGGGCTGAGGGCTGGGGCTAGGCTGCAGTCCTGAGGTACTGCCACATCACTTGTGTGCACGTTCCTGTCTATCCACTGTGTACCCCATACAGATCCTCCCAAGACTCGGGCCAGACTCCAGCCATGTCCCCCTTCCTCTGTGTGGGAAGTAGTTTCCCTTCGGTGTGCCGCCCACACTCACGGACTTTGGCATTCCCAGTGGCTCTGGCCCTTGTGCTGTCATTACCACACCCTGCCACCTGGTTTTTGTGGTCCTGCGCAACCTGAACTGGCCCAGCCACTTCTGCTAGCAGCAGCAGCATGCTTCTGGGGACTTTTGTGCTACTTGGTTCTACCAGTTTGAGTGCTTTTACCCTTGCTGCCTTGAGAGCTGCTTGCTCTTCCCCCTGGAATTCCCTGAGCAGATAAGCACTGCCCTGGGATCGAAGCCCCAGATGAATTATACCGGGCCTCTGTCTGCCTCAGCGCAAGTGCTGCTGGAGCAGCAATATCACACTTGGGTGGTTTTAAAGAATCGAGGTTTAGTGTTTTCTCACTGTCTCGGAGACTTGACTTCTGAATTCAGGAAACCAGTTCCAGGGGAAGGTTCCTTCTGTCAGCCCCTAGGGGTTGGGGGTGGGGTGGGGTATCCCCTTCTTGACTTTTTAGCTCCAGCATCCCTTGGCCTCTTTCTTTTCTCCTTCTGTGTCTAATGCAGCGGTTCTCAACTTGTGGGTTGCGACCCTTTGGGGGTCGAACGACCCTTTCACAGGAGTCGCCTGATTCATAGCAAAATTACAGTGATGAAGTAGCAACGAAAATAATCTGATGACTGGTGGGTCACCACAACATGAGGAACTGTATGAAAGGGTCGTGGCATTAGGAAGTTTGGGAGCCATTGGTCTAATGGCTCTTTTTCTACCTTTAAAGTCAGTAGGCCTAAAACACAGCCTGTGTTGCAACAATGGGCCCAAAGTTGTAAGGATTCGCTCTGTCGGTAGAATCCACTCAGTGGCACCTCACGTGGTACCTAACAACAACATGCTCAAAGGCCCCATTAGCCAACAGGGAAAATCCATCTACAGGTGTAGAGGCTAGGATCATCTACAGTATTTTGGAAGATACGTTTCCATCCATGACATTGTCCTTGTGATGGCCACCGCTCAGGGACACCATGCTGCAGTGCAAGCTGTCCCAGAGGTGTTGACTTTGCTCACTGGGCAGCTGGAAAGCCTTCCCAGGTGGGGCCTAGAGGGAGTCCCGAAGGCTGAGAGTGGGAAGTTCCTGGGGTAGCCCAGCGGGGAAGCCCCCCACCCCCAGTCCCCTCACTGACAGTCTGTTCCTCCAGGGCATCCTCTTGTGCTGCTTTGTATTCCCCATCTGCCTCACAGGGCTTTTGTCAAGAGTAGATGTTAGGAAGGGCTACGCCAATCACCCGCACTGAGGGAGCAGTACGGTGTAAGGCCTGACAGCTTGGAGGAGACCGGCTTTTGGAGTTGTTGGATTGGCATGCCCAGGAGAGGAGTTTGGCCTGAATCCAGCCCGAGATAAGATGAGCAAGGGCAGGATGGGAAGGATTTTTGAGGAAGGCATTTTCCCCTCCCCCATGAAGGGCCCACCAGATTCTGCTCCTAGTGGGAGCTCAGAGGCAGTCCCTGAAAGGGGCAGAGGGCCAAGGAGTGGCCCAAAGAGGCATGTGCTTCAGGCACAGCATTGCTGATGCTGCTTCTTTGCTTCAAAGTAGAAGCAGCCTGGGATGGCACAACCAGCTCATGAGTAGAGCAGGAACTAGGCCCAGGCCTCCACCAGCTGTGCTCTGGTTTTTGTCCTCGCTGCATGCAAAGGAAAAGTGGGCCAAATGTGTGCAGATGCTGAACTGGTGTCCGAGGGCGAGGAGACTGTGTGTGTTAAGGGCAGACTGGTTAATCTGCAAGTTTGGAAACCTGGGCTCTTTGGCCTTTGCGTGCCTACAGAACTTGGAGATGATTGCTAGGGTTTGGACAGTTCTAGTTCTGTGAACTAGGAGGGCAGAGAGGAGGCTGGAGCCAGGCAGGGCTAAGAACACTGTACAAGGAGTCCACTGCCTGGGTTCAGATCCCTCGTCCTTCATGTGGCCGAAGGCCTAGTAGATGACCTCCTTAGGCATGTTCCCTTATCTGCCCAATGGTTACGGAAGAATCTATTTTGAAAATGTTGTGAGACATGAATGAGATAATGCGTTCAATCAAATGACAGTATCTGGGACAGGGCACCTGCACATCACATGTTTATGTTAAAAAACAAACCAATAAGAGGGAGTCCTGGGAGAGGATTGGCATGTGGAGGAGGAGCTGGGAGTCACTGTCACAGAGGTGAGGCCGGAGGATCTGAATGAGGAGGAGTGCTTAGGGCAGGCCAGAGCTTTGGGGGTCAGTCCACTTAGAGGAAGAGGCAGAGTCCGTGGAGAAAGCAAAGCATAAGATGGAAGAAACCAGGAAAATGCCAAGTCACTGACGCCAGGGAGAGCGCCTGGGAAAGGATACAGAGTTAGGATCAGTATCGCCCTCGTGGCCACAGGCGGTGAAGCGGGCATGGTGCAAATGCCTTGAGCTTCAAGGTCTAGCGCAGAACTGAAGTGTCCCCTCCCTGCCCACAGCGGTGCCATGTGTGTTGTGCCTATCTTCTAGGGGTAGATGTCATCAATGGAGCCCTGGAGTCAGTTCTGTCCTCCAGTAGCCGTGAACAGTGGACACCAAGTCATGTCAGCGTGGCCCCTGCTACCCTCACCATCTTGCACCAGCAGGTAAGAAGACACAGCTGGGCCCTGCCTTGGTTGGGAGCCCGGGGTCTGGAGAGGAATTGCCAGTAGGATAGGCATGCCTCAGTGGAACTCAGAGATTTGGGGTGTTCCTAACGAGGCTCCCTCCCTCCAGACGGAAGCAGTTCTGGGGGAGTGTAGGGTGCGCTTCCTCTCCTTCTTGGCCGTGGGCAGAGACGTCCACACATTTGCATTCATCATGGCTGCCAGCCCAGCCTCCTTCTCCTGCCACATGTTCTGGTGTGAGCCCAACGCTGCCAGCCTCTCGGAGGCCGTGCAAGCTGCGTGCATGGTAAGTGGACTGGGTGGGGGTGGGGGGAAGGCACCCAACCCCCATGAGGCAGGCCAGAGAGTGACTGCCTTACCCGCCTCTCTGCAGCTCCGATACCAGAAGTGTCTGGATGCTCGATCCCAGACCTCCACCTCCTGCCTCCCGGCACCCCCGGCTGAATCTGTGGCCAGGCGTGTAGGGTGCACTGTCCGCAGGGGCGTTCAGTCACTCTGGGGCTCCCTCAAGCCCAAACGGCTGGGGACCCATGCCCCCTGAAGAGACCCCCAGTACTCCTCCTGTCTGCTTGCATCGGGCTCCAGGGAACTCAAGGAATGGGGCAGAGGGTGACTGTAGAGGCTGCTCCTAGGCCTCAGGCACCGCTAAAGCTGCCCCTTCTCATAGCTGGGGTTCCCTGCCTAGGAGTGGGGGTGGGAGAGGCCTAACTCCCTCGAGGAAGTGGCAACACTGGGCTGACAAGAGGAGCAGGAAGCAAAGCCAGCCCCAGACCCTCCATTCCCACGCGTTTCAGTGGAGCAGGAGGGACTGGCCCGTGCCATGCTCCAGCCTCATAGGGCCCAGCGGGGGCAGGAGGAGGAGGGGACAGTCCCGGCATGGGTCCTCTCCCCCTTGCCCAGCGGGCACCTCCCCTGTACTGATATCACTAATAAAGTCTGTCTGCCCTGCTGACCTGCGTGGCTTTCTGTGCTCTCACCGCACCACCACCACCCCACCGGGGTCCCTCCCTCCGTCAAGATCTCTGGGTCTCCCCCGTTAGGACAGTCACTGAGGACGACAGTCTAGTCTCACACCTTTATTGAAACAGGCAACCGCAGCAGCATAGGCTTTTTTCTGCCTGGACAGCACCAGGCCCCCTGTCAGCTCAGAGCCACCAAAGGACAGCATCCCTGGCAGCCTGGGGGCTGGCACTGGGAGAGCAGCTCCAGGAAGGCAGGGCCCGTCTCCTGTCCCCTGGTGTGCCCGGGGCTCCCAGCGGTTCTGGCCAAGTTGTCCCGCAGCAGTCCTCAGGATCCCGGCCATGGTGCGCCCTCCCCAAGACACAGACGTGATCAGCGGCCGGGCTTGCGGAGCGCTTAGCAGAACAGCGGCCGTGGCCACAGGCTGTGGACGTCCTGGAGGCTGTCCTCCGGCACCAGGTGGCGGCAGAGAGCAGGACTGTCGGCGCGGGCGGACAGCTGGGCGCACAGAGTAGCGAGGCGGCAGGGCGGGCCGCAGGGATCCGAGGGCGGGTGGCCCTTATGGTAGAGGAACCAGAAGGTCTGGAATAGGCGCGTGTCGCCCCGCATGCGGTATACTAGGTCGTGCCAGGCGGCCGGCAGCGCGTTGGGCAGCCCGTAGGTTTCTAGGGCCCGGTAGAGGCGCTGCCATTGCGGTGTGGCCCCAGGCGCGTTCGCCTGCGTCAGGTTCAGGATGAAAGTCTCGTGGTCCAGGACGACGTGAGAGCTCCCAGGGTAATTGCCGTCTATTTGGTAGACGCGATAACCTGCCAGGAGGGAGGGCTGACTGGAGGTGGGGAACCAAGGGGCCGCCCCAGGGAGGAGCCATATGCCCCACCCACTCCGTTGGGTTTTTAGCAGGGGCCCCATCTTCCTGCCTCTTTCCTCCTCCCCTCCCCGCAGCTCAAGGACAGCCACTTCATCCGTGACCACTCACCAGGATTAAGGCCAATGTAGGTAGTGGCACTGGGCGCCAGGAAGGCCACAGCCAGTGGCCGGCTCAGGGTCTCTTCGTCATAGAAGACCTCAAATTCATCCACATGGGTGTGGCCAAAGAACTGACCGGCCAGGGTGTTCTCATACCTGGTAGGAAGATTTACTCAGAAGACTCCAGAGAGGAAGGGGAGATCTTTCCCCACTCTCTTCAAGTAAGGAGCAGCCCCAGCCACAACAGTGTGACGGTTAGGGCAGTTTCGAATACTTCGGACTCTTCATTTCCCCAGCCCCGACCCCATCTGCTGCCTACCTGGCTACAATTCGGTAATAATTCCAGCTCCAGCTCTTCAGGCAATGTCCCGGGGGGATGTGGCCAATTATATGCACCTGGGAAAAGGTGAAGGGTGGTTAGCAGGGCACCGAGGGGGCCCAGGCAGCCCTACCAGGGTTGTTGGTTCTCACTTGACCTACAGAGGCTGCCATGGCTAGTCCGAGGGGGAATGAGAAGGCTTTCAACGAAGTGGACCTCCCGGAAACACTAATGCTGAGAGCACCTTCTCTGCACACAGGTGCCCCAGCTTCCGACTGGGGCCTGCTGGTGGTGAAGGGCCAGCC